CACACATACACACACATACCCCCCCCCTACACACACATATACACACACACACACACACACACACACACACACACACACACACACACACACACACACATACACACACCCAATCCTCCTTGGCCTCTCCGTCGCTGTCTCCTACCTCCACACCCTCGCAATTTCCCTGCAGTGATTCCTAACACTGACGCGAGGTGTCGCCACCACATTGTTGCAGCCAGAAGCTGTCGCGGCGGGACTTACTGGAGAGGATGGGAGGTCTCCAGCTGCCGGACACCATCATTCCGCCCGAAGAGGATCAGTGCGTCGCACCACTGTTCGTCTCCTGCGACTACAACACCAAGTACCGAGAGGTGACGGGCCGCTGCAACAACCTGCGCAATCTGGAGATGGGAATGTGCTTGAGGCCGTTCCGCCGCCTGCTCGAACCCGTCTACGACGACGGTGAGATGCTCTCTTGTTTACGGCGGTGACGGTGAGATGCTCACTTGTTTACTACGGTGACGATGAGACGCTCTTTTGTTTATTACGACGACGGTGAGATGCTCACTTGTTTACTACGTCGGCGGTGAGATGCTCCCTTGTTTACTACGTCAGCGGTGAGATGCTCATTTGTATACTACACACCGACTCTGAGATGCTCACTCGTTTACGGCGGTGACGGTGAGATGCTCACTTGTTCGCTACGGTGACGGTGAGATGCTCAGTTGTTTACTACGTCGGCGGTGAGATGCTCATTTGTATACTACTCGCCGACTCTGAGATGTTCACTTGTATATTACGACGACGGTGAGCTGCTCACTTGTTTGTAGGGCGATGTTTTAGAGTAGACGATCACTCGTCACGCGTTACCACCGGATATACCGCGACCGCATCACGTCTATGATAATAGATTGTAAACGCTTGCCACGCGTATTGATTCATGATATACTGCACGCACTGACGTTCACGTTATTTTGTAACCACCTGTAGCATGTATTACCTGTATAGATAATAAAATATGGCGGCGACGTAACTATAGCTATAACGTGCATTACCCGTGTAGATAACGACGTATGCGAGCTAGCGATGTGACGCGCTGTTACCACTGCTCTCTATATACTAACTCATTAGTATTATACTATAGTAGGGTTAGTTATCTATTAGATAGTATATAGAGATCAGTGGTCACAGCGCGTCACAGCGCCATAGCTCGCATACGTCGTTATATACACGGGTAATGCATGTTATAGCTATAGTTACATGACTATTATCAGGAGTGAATAAGAATAATGTTGCCGGCAGACATCAACGCGTTGCGTTAGTATAGTAAATATACTAATATAGTATTATAGTACTAATAGTTATTCATTAGTTAGTATATAGAGATGAATGGTTGTGACTATTATATTGGCGGCAGTCATCAACACGATGCGTTCTACGAGCGTGACGACGCGTGCGCTGCCGAGCCCTCGAGCCGTCAGTAACGCCGTACACAGATCCATGGACGCACCCCACGAAGAATACACGCTGGCGCTCATGCAGTGGGGACAGTTCCTCGATCATGACATCACCTTCACGCCCGTCTCTAAAGGTGCGTCTGCCACGATGGTCTGTTGCTGATATAATTATTGCGGCTCTCCACATGAAGACGTATGACGACTATAGGTCATATCGGTGAGAGTCTCGTATAGCAGAATGTAGTGGCGGGGTTGATAGATAGCGAAGGACAGTGCGAGAGTGTGTGTGAGAGGCAGAGAGAGAACGAGAACGAGCAAGGGAGAAAAAATAGTGAGAGAGAGTGTGTCTCAAGAAGATGGAAAGCATGAGAAAGAGAGAACGGCAGAAAAAGAGAGAGAGAGAATGATAATGTGAGAGCGAGAAAGATAGATAGACAGAGAGAGATAGAGAGAAAGAGAAAGAGAGAGAGAGAGAGAGAAGAGAGAGAGAGAGAGAGAGAGAGAGAGAGAGAGAGAGAGAGAGAGAGAGAGAGAGAGAGAGAGAGAGAGAGAGAGA